GAAAACTGTAAATCCTGAAAGAATTGTAGAGGCATGAAAATTGTAAATCCTGAAAGAATTGTAGAGACATGAAAACTAAATCCTTAATGAATTGTAGAGGCATGAAAACTGTAAATCCTGAAAGAATTGTAGAGGCATGAAAACTGTAAATCCTGAAAGAATTGTAGAGGCATGAAAATTGTAAATCCTGAAAGAATTGTAGAGGCATGAAAACTGTAAATCCTGAAAGAATTGTAGAGGCATGAAAACTAGATCCTGAAAGAATTGTAGAGGCATGAAAACTAAATCCTTAATGAATTGTAGAGGCATGAAAACTGTAAATCCTGAAAGAATTGTAGAGGCATGAAAATTGTAAATCCTGAAAGAATTGTAGAGGCATGAAAACTGTAAATCCTGAAAGAATTGTAGAGACATGAAAATGGTAAATCCTGAAAGAATTGTAGAGGCATGAAAACTGTAAATCCTGAAAGAATTGTAGAGGCATGAAAACTAAATCCTGAAAGAATTGTAGAGGCATGAAAACTAAATCCTTAATGAATTGTAGAGGCATGAAAACTGTAAATCCTGAAAGAATTGTAGAGGCATGAAAACTGTAAATCCTGAAAGAATTGTAGAGGCATGAAAATTGTAAATCCTGAAAGAATTGTAGAGACATGAAAACTAAATCCTTAATGAATTGTAGAGGCATGAAAATTGTAAATCCTGAAAGAATTGTAGAGGCATGAAAACTAAATCCTTAATGAATTGTAGAGGCATGAAAATTGTAAATCCTGAAAGAATTGTAGAGACATGAAAATGGTAAATCCTGAAAGAATTGTAGAGACATGAAAATGGTAAATCCTGAAAGAATTGTAGAGGCATGAAAACTGTAAATCCTGAAAGAATTGTAGAGGCATGAAAACTGTAAATCCTGAAAGAATTGTAGAGGCATGAAAACTAAATCCTGAAAGAATTGTAGAGGCATGAAAACTAAATCCTTAATGAATTGTAGAGGCATGAAAATTGTAAATCCTTAATGAATTGTAGAGGCATGAAAATTGTAAATCCTGAAAGAATTGTAGAGGCATGAAAATTGTAAATCCTGAAAGAATTGTAGAGGCATGAAAATTGTAAATCCTGAAAGAATTGTAGAGGCATGAAAATTGTAAATCCTGAAAGAATTGTAGAGGCATGAAAATTGTAAATCCTGAAAGAATTGTAGAGGCATGAAAATTGTAAATCCTGAAAGAATTGTAGAGCCATGAAAATTGTAAATCCTGAAAGAATTGTAGAGGCATGAAAATTGTAAATCCTGAAAGAATTGTAGAGGCATGAAAATTGTAAATCCTGAAAGAATTATAGAGGCATGAAAATTGTAAATCCTGAAAGAATTGTAAAGGCTTTTACATTTTAGTAAATTGTTCGATAACGAAGCTAACGTACTGTCCGATGAAGAATTCTTTATTAGGATTCAAGGACAATTATTCAAGATGAAAGTAAGAGCGAAAACCGATGAAGGTATTTTTCTAGAAAAAGAATTCACGTTTAAGGGGTTTTTGAAATGTGTATTACTCTTAAGACAAAAAAAAGTCTGGTTGTCCGGACAGTCTTGTGTATGAACATATTAAATACTGTAACAATTATAATAGTTAAATATATGATTTATTTGCTCCATCTTATTTTTAAGTATGAATATATTCCAAAATTTTGGTACGATAATCACCCTGTATAAAGGTAATCTAAAACCGAAAGACAACACAAATAGAGGTATCGCATTAGTGTTTTTAAAAGAGTTTTAAGACACTGTTGTCTACCCGTCTAAGCCCAATCCTAGAAACATGCACATTCCCAGGCAGGCATCTATCAGGATCTCGTAAAAACTGAGTAGCTTATGTACTTCTTTTAATTGACAAGAAAGTGTCAACTATTACCTAGAAAATGGATCTGATGTGTTTGTGGCTTTTCTAGATAGTAATAAAACTTGCGACTCTGTGTGACAAGAAGGTATAGTTTATAAACTTTACAATACGGTCATTAAAGAGAAAATATGGAATATAATAAAACCATTGTATTATCGATTTATCAGTGATGTTGTGCTTAATGGTTCGAAAGCAGACAAGGTGATTATGAGACGAGGAACCTTACAAGGTGGATCTTTATCCGCGAATCTGTATTTGGTCTTTATTAATGATTTGCTAAATGAAGTTGAATTTAACAGAAAAGGGTCAGTAGTTCCATCCTCACGGGTAAATACCCAGGCAAGCCGGTGATATTTGTCTTGTCAGCAATAACAGTATCTACTCTCTATTTGTCAGTTATACAATAAGAGATGGAGACCTATATTTCCCCCATTAAATCTTAAATTTTTGTTTTCGCTAAAAAAAAAAAAAACAAAAACAAAAACAAAAAACAAAAAAAAAAAAAAACAAAAAAAAAACAACAAAAAATCAATGTTCATTGTGACGTCATTTTATATAAAAAAAACTACCATCTGTAGAAAATATAATTCATGTTGGCGTCTTACTGAACAGAAGAAATAACAATGCCGAACGCTCAGAACGTGCATGTTCAAAATCAAAGTGTGGAATTATGTCTTTAATCTGTTCGAGGTCGCACCTACCTGTCCTAAATATTATTACTATTGCAAAAATTGTTAAGTGTAAAGTATACACGTCAGCACTTCACGGGTGTGAATTCTGGAAATTAAAACAAAATGAAATTTACATGTTAGAAAAAGCTCAAAATTACATTGTAAGATCAGTCAGGTTTTAATGTAAGAACAAGAACAGATATGTGTACGTCTCTAATCGGTTGGTTTCCATTTGAAACATATATTAATGTAAAGGAAATGTTATTTCTTGTTAGAATATGTACGATGGATGTGTGTTGTTTAACACGTGAACTTTTTACTAAACGCCTACTTGAATTTAATCTGTTCCCTTACATTACAGGTTTTATTCCTAACACTATTAATGTTTTATATAAATACAACTTGTATTATGTACTTCACGATTTTTGAACGGTGGTGTTTTCCCAAACAAATGTCAATAGAAGTGCTTAATCAACAACTATGTAAGAATTTTTGAACAGGTTAATCTATGTGAAAGAGTGAACGGTGATGCGGACTTCTCTAGCTTCATACTTCATGCGATATGGAAACTTGCGTTTTTCACAATTTAATCTCCATTTCAAGAAAATAGTCAAACTGTGTGTAGATGCGTGACCCTGGATATTATTTCACTATTGTGGTTATATGTACAAAGATATTGTCATGCATAGCGTACTTGAATGTTCACACACACACAATTTACCTGATCTGCTCTGGTGTGTACTTAGCACGGTTAAAGACATAGATTTTATATTTTATCTGAACTCAGTGTTTAATTATCGTTTCTTTCATGTTCTACTTGGTGGTATACTTACCTATGATTTTTCTCCATAAGAACTGGAGCATTTTGGAATTAACTCAATTATCATTATTACTTAATCCTACAACTCAGTGTCCTGTTGTAATTCAATTATACGTAAGCATTGTCTAGGAAAGTTTTGTGCATGACTATTTACACTGCGTATTCGCACTTTCGTGTCAATACATATATCATTGCATGCTGAGCGAAAGAACATCTGTATTAAAATTGGAAAAACCGAGCAACATGTCCATTGTATATGCTTTTCACAATACATGTAACACTGCATTTCTCCCAACGGTAGGAGGTGTACCAGCACCGCAGTGCTTAAAGTTTGTATTGCTTGGATTTTTAACAAAGAAAAACGTGCATTCCGTATATACAGGACAAATATTTCCCGCTATTCTCCGAAACGCGGGAAATTAAAAATTATATCGTTATGTGCCTAAAGTTGTGAAAGGAATCTTGAACTCTTGGAATGAGATGAACATGCAAGTAATGTGTTAATGTATCAGTGAAAGGTGATTTATGTATAATTGTATATCGCTTATCAAGTTACAATGTGAACGTGTAATGGTGTGTTTGTCCGTGTATATAGGTATGTCTCCTTGTAAGTTTCTTTCTTTCAGTATTGTTCGACACTGTGTTATATGTTCCCCTCTATTTCTATGGGAAACATGAATTGCAGTAGTTTGTTATGAAACTTTGAAAGATACTTCCTTTGCCACCTACCTCTACCATCTTAAATCTGCTCAAAGCACTTCAAAATCAAGGATGAAAGAGTGTTTTAAAAATCATCAAGGAAAAGACCTTACTATCAGTTATATTGTACAGTATTGCATCTGTGTGTATTTAGATGGTGTTATTTGTTATGTTTGAACATTATTTTGACCAAAATACACACAAAACTTGATTTTTGAACTTTATTTTGACCAAATTAAACCCAAAACTTAATTTGGAATTTTCCAATTACAGAACAAATCTCAGGAGATCTGTGATTCTAGCATTTTCGAAGAATTGAGTAGGTTGGCCCTACGGCCAAAATCAGGTCGACCCTATGGCCAAAATCAGGTTGGTCTGACGAAATCAGGCGACACTGTAAAGTATTGAGTAATGATGAGACAATTCTTGGTTTAGAAATCTGCCAGGAATTAGTTTTTACAACCACATACATCTAATGAACACGAACATTCTGCGTAGATATTTTGTTTAGTTATAAACTCATGAATTACAGCATTGCAAGGGAGATAACCGCTAGTTCGTCAACAATAGTCACTCTTGGTGTATGAAGCTTATCTCCTGTGTTTCAGTCTCAATGTACGTTATAAAAGGACGAATGTGCTCGTATACGTAGATCACCGTCATATTTTGCCTATAATTAAGATTATGGTATGGACCGAAAAGGTTGGATATCCGTGTCATGCACGTCCCCCTACTGTAGACTTGCTCGTTCAGAGTTAGGTAAACTTATCATAAATAGAAATCCAATGAAATATATCTCCTCGGAGATCGATGCACAATCTCAACGCCCTTCATGGTACACTCCTGGACGAATCAAAACATGGTTTATATTGAATTTCTTCTCTCATCGGTTTTTAATAAAACTGATTATTTCTACATCAATATTGCTTCTTTGTGAGGTTTAAGAGCGGTAGGGCCGAACTTGGGATAATCAGTAGAATTAGAAACAGCATCCGCTTCTAGGATTATTTCTTTTGAGACCTGAATTGGACGTGGGTCAACAGGAACATGGCACTCTGGTTCTATCATCAAAATTTCCTCTTCGTTCTCGTTACCTGTTTCAATAGTTGTTGGATTTACAGTGTCATCTGTTACTCTGTCATCCTGTCTTGCAAAACATGTTGTCACGACCTTAATGATCCAAATTCGGCATTTCTGAACCAAGGGACTCCGTCGATATAAAATGGTTACAACGAACAGGAAACAGGTCAAAAGTAAGGAAACTATCAACAGGACCATCCAGAGAGGAATTGTCTCTGTAAACAAAATGTACACGAAATAAGTCGACTGTATATAAATAGACTTAATTCTAACTGATGGAGTACCGTTTTACTTTTTATTCCACTGAAGTGATATCCTCAAAATTATTAGGTGATACCAATACTTGGTTATGACAATATCACCTATTTATAACGATGATATCACAATTAGTTTGGAATAAGCAGTATATGCATCATACATATCATCGTGAAATTGATATCACTTAAACGGAATAAAAAGTAAATCTGTAGCCCATAACCCACCTTATCGGTACTCCAAGAACAAATTTAGGTTCGAATTATTGTTTTGAATGATGTGCATAAACTACCAGAGTAGTCGTTGCTGGCACTGCTTTTGGTTGTGTCTGAACCTGAGTCATGTTAAACAAATGAGGTTAGAAAAGAAATGAAAATAAATAAGACAACATCTAATTTTTTGACGATGATTGTTTCTGATAATTTTCTATCTTTCCTTTCTTCACTTAGATGTTTATTTATTTATCTTTAAAGGAAATGGCTACTTTTCTAAAGCTACCCAACTTTCGTTTTAGAACGTCCAGTATATATGTGTAGAAATCACGTGTTTTTTTAACCAATGGGTGAGCGCCGAGTTTATAAACTCAGTCACACAGTTTATACGTTACGGAAGTTATATTGTGGGGTTATCAGCCAAATTATTCCATCAAATTTCCACAAAATTCTTTAATCTCCGGGTAATGTTTGAAACGATATGTCTTAACTCCTGTCTCCTTGTCATGTGTGTGGATCAGGGATCGGATTTAATTCAGTCCAAGGATACGTTTTGTGTGTGATTCACTCACTAGGATAATAATGGGTTGTTATGTATCTTCAAGACACAATATTTTTTACACAAATAAAGCATATATAGTTTGAATTCCCAGACTTGGATATACAATATCATACTGATACAACAGATACGTAAAACTCATGCTGGACTATGGATTAAAATGGACTTCTTTCTTTACCACGGCGACAAGTACAGGTAGTTCATTGCTTTTTACATTCCGTTCTATTTATAGACACAGGTATTCGACGCTCAGCCAGGACAGATATGAAAACAAAGCTTTCATCTCCATTACACCTTTTTAAAATACAGTGGTCGGGATAATGCGATTTCTAATGAAATGAAAAAATTGTAAAAATTGTACGCGAGAAGTTATTAACTGATTCATTTCGTTATTTACTTATTAATTTATTTTTATTCATTTATCTTTTTTCAAAATTTATTTTTGTAATTGATTTGGTATCAAAGCTCAATGAATGAAAAAATGAGTTTCGAATCCCTTCGGTGTACATGTATTGAATACTTGGTCAGAGTAGAATCAGCGTTTCTTGAGTCCAGTTTAATGTCTAGCTACATATCCATAGAGGTGTCATGCATGTAACTTACTATTCGGTGGGTCGTTGTTTAATACCAGATCTGAAAAAAAAAAAAAAATACGCTATGCAAAGTACATTTACATCAAGACCAATCAGACCTGAGGTCATATATATTATTATATTTGTTTCTTCAGTTATGAACAAGACAGTAGGAATATGATATTGTAGTCAGTAGATCAATATCCCGAATAGAAAATTGATTTATAAAAATTACTGAGATCAAAATTGGCAAATTGAAACATTACTAAACTTACCTTTGCAAAATTCCGTACAGTTGTTGATGTGTTCGGATTTGAAACATTTTTCATTCCAAGGTGGTGTAGCACAATTGATACAGAATCGTGAGAGGGGGTCACAGAATTCTCTTCCGAACTCGCAAATGTCACCAAAACAGGAAAAATCGGCTGTAAATTAAACAAAATTCATTTTATAATAATTTTTTTCATAGAATCTATCAAAGAGAACGATTTGAACGATGTAGATTCGTATCTAAAATTGAAAAGGCTGGGAACAAAAAATTGCCTCCTTACCTTCAGACATCGTTGGAAAAAAGGGTAATTTCCCAACCTAGTCCAATTACACAAATGTGATCTAGATTTAAAAAAAATATGTTTCGACAAATAATGATTTAGGATAAACACTACTAACTTTGTGTAGAATATATATATATTTGGTCTCCCAACATTAAATGGTACCATTCAGAAAATAGCATACATACAAATCTATCAGACAACTTAAGTACCTTCGTACATCTCTGTGTAGTGCCAGGGTCTAAAATAGAAACACTGGAATTGAGGGGAATTACCTGTTTTGTAAATGTAACATTTACTATTTCATTTTTATTTAATAATACTTTAGTATATATTATGAAATATCTATATATATATATCATCAATAAATATCCTTTAATTCAGCTCTACATTACACAATTACTTCATTTTTTGGTGTCAACTGCGGTCAATTTTTGTTCGAGTTGCCTCCCTCTACCTAACTGTGTAACGGTATAAACTTTCATGCTGTATTTGTGTTTAGTGTTTGGTGTATTTTTACATTAGAAGGTATGGTCTAAGTCTTACTTATCAGATCTTGTTAAAACTTAAGCAGAAGTACATTCATTTGAATTTTAATGATAATCTTTATAAAAATGGAAGAAAAGCTAACGTTTCTGTCATCCCATTGTTGATATTGAGATTTATTATCCTTAGGTGTCAGACTTAGTGAATATTGGTTATTCTCTCACTATTTTTCTCGTATTTGGGAAATAGTGCCGTACATTTACTCCATATTTTCCTTTAAAATTTCAAAGTTTTTTGTCTTGTCTTCTAAATGCTCATTTTGACTACTTGTTTGTTTGTTGTTTTTCCCCCTTTTTTGTTTACAATACCGATAGAGGACTTACTTTATCGGTGTACATGATAAGAACAAGTCAGGAAATTTTCACTAGACTCCTAATAGCATCGAGACAAAAATCGCAATTTAAACTTAGATCAAACAGAGTTGTCTCCCGGAAATAAAACATTTCCTGTTGAAATAAAATTGCACCATGATTTATCACTTGATTGAACTGTGATATTTGTATGCTAAACCTGACGTAGTCAATTAGGAGCGAGCGTTTGTAAATCAAGGATAAAAGCTATAGGTTTGAAAAATAGCTCCTACAGATTTTACTCTGTATCAATAAACGTGAAGAGTTCTAATGATTAGCCAAGTGTACATAATCCTGACGTAATAGTTAATAATTTTGAAATACTGAGATATGAAAACAACAAGTTTATTTTTCGTCATCACTTTATTACTGAAAAATGATATGAATCAATGAATACAAATGTAATTGCATATATTTATTAATTTTGTATGATAATCCAGTTTCTATTAGTACGAACCTTATAAAATCACGAAATTTAATACGCGTGTTTTTCTTCGATGTAAAGGAGATCCGAAAGATTCCATAAAAAGTTAAATTTTCCGATCCATTTCATCACGTCTACAAAGCTTTTTATAAACACTATAAAGTTGTTGACATGTGATATGTAGTCTCAGTTCTGCTACAGGTAAATTCGTGACCTCTTGATAAATTTGACCTGAAAGTCGATGTTGTCAATTAATTTTTATTTGATAGCGTATAGATATATCATATTTCTTCAATTCCGTTAATCTATTCACATACATAAACGACAAGGATACATTCACTTTGTTGTACGGTAATCGAGAGATAAAACTGGATAACTGATGAGAAAAATACACACCCTGACACAAACTCACACATACACACACCCACACCCACACCCACACACCCTCACACAAACTCACACATACACACACCCACACCCACACCCACCCACACACACACCCACACACCCTCACACATACACACACCCACACCCACCGATCCCCCCACACACACACATCCTCACACACTGATACATACACACACCCACACACACCCTGACACACATATACCGACACACACCCTCACACACACACACCCTCACACACACATCCTCACACACATCCCGACACACACCCTCACACTCACACCCCGACACACACACACACACACCACAACACACACACCCTCATACACACCTACCCTCACACACACCCTCACAAACACACACCCCGACACACACACCCTGACACACACATCCCGACACACACACTCTCACACACACACCCTCACACACACATACATCCCGACACACCTTCACACTAACACCACGACACACACCCTCACGCACACTCTGACATACATACCCTTAAAACCTTAATCCCCACCCTCCTTACACACAATTTTATGTTAAGTGTCGTCATGTCTATGTTAATACTTGATAAGAATGAATTTACAAAATCTTCGTTCTTAACTTGAATGAAACAATAACGAACGATGGGAAATAATCTGGGTTAATTTGTTGATGCCCGCACACACATGTATTAAATCTTACAAACAATTACAGATCTAGAAACCATTCGCCATTAAGCTGTGAAGGGCTTGTGGTGTACCGTGTTCTTAATTAATGTACAAAGTTTCATTAGAAATGAGATGTGAAATGAAGGTAGGTAATGAAACACAAATGAGTTTGTACACTAAGCCTTGGCCTAAGCAATATCTTGATCTTCCAATAAAATAATAGCTGACACAATGATATTGCCTTAGAGGCAGTAAAGAGACATATTCAATACAGGCTTCATCTTTTTAACAATTCTGAAATAAGTGTCACATAAAAATGATTTCTCAAACTATACAGTGCCAAATACAATTTTCTCCTCCAATGCATTCAGTTGGTCAATATATCCCCCTTAAAAACACAGCTGAATGCCCAGTCTGCTTGCCACACCGGGAAATCTTTATCCGATTTGATTAGTATTTCCCCAGAATATTTCTCCTTTTGGTTTCAGCACGTGACCGTCAACATGCACGGAAAGACCTCCATCTCCGACTTCTTTGACTGGTTTTTGGATATGATAGTAATTTCCCTCTCCTCTATTGCTTCTATCGGTATTCGGACATTGGTCACCTCCAGTTGACATATGCGGATCGTTTTCTGTTAAAAACGTTGGAATGAGTTGTTCGTTTGGAGGCGATTGGTGTCCCTGTTCGTTTAATAGTGATTCGATAGACAAGGTATCCCCAAGAGATATGTCCAGTGTTCCAGTATCTGAAGTATAAATTAGGGCTCTCGGATGTTTCACGTGCGTTTGTTTATTGTCCCCTTCGTAAAAGATATGCAATATTCGGCATATGTGCTTTCTGAGAACGTTGGTAAGATTGTTATTGTTAAGTGTTCCGAACTTATGGCAGAGAAAAGCGACGACGCAAAAGAAAATACAAGGAACCACTACGCCCAGGATTGGTAACCATCTTGCCTGCTGTTCACTGTGAAAGCCCAAATGTGGTGCCACTGAAAAAAATACAATAATAATTTTACTGAATCTACAAATAACATTACTTTCCTGTTTTTTTCATTGAATATAGCAATATGATGATTTAACTTCGAAATAAAAATCAATTTGTCATATTAGAATTACTATTACAAAGTATGTTTACCCAACTCAATATATAAAGTCGATCATTAAAATAGAAGCCCATTATATATTCCCAAAAAATTAAAAATCGGAATAAAAAGACACCAGAACATTTTGTCGTCTTTCCAGCGTTGTTTTATGAAAGTTATTTAATAAATATTCAGTTTCACAACTATGACATATACTATCTATTTAATCCATCTTCAGTTGAAGTTGCTACAGCTGATGCTATTTGAACAACTTACAGGAGTCTGTGCTTGTGGTCCCTTGGACATTTAAGTGTTCTGTAATAAGCAGGAAAAAATATAATTGAATTAGATGTATTTGATGCTGTGTTGACTTTGAAGGAAGCTGGAATTGCGCGTTAATAGACATATACATGCACATCGTGTATGTTCAATTAACAACGAAAAATGTTATCATATTTAACTAAAGATGCTAAAGATGGGATTTCAAGAACACAATTACCGTTTGATGGCCCTAATGACCTTTTATGTGTTGACGGCCGTTAAGAATGTAATAATTATAATACTAATGATACGATTTCATCATCTTTAACACACAAACAACGCTATTGTTCCATTACACTTTGAGAGGAAAAACATACCTTTGCACACACGGGTACACCGTAGTATATGACTGTCTGTAAAACAGGTGTGAAGCCACAGAACACATTTGAAACAAAATCTGGACAGGTCATCGCAGAAGGAATCGGCAGTGCATACGTCTCCATAGCAACTTATGTTACCTAGAAAAGATTAAGGCATGTATATTACAGATGTACGACATGCAGCTTGTGAATTCAATCCGGCTTTGTCTGTTATCTTTCATTTCTCAGTTTAATAAAAAAAAATCTTTTATTATTCTGAGATGAAAAGTAATTTTACATTACATGAAAATGTCTTGCTATAGAAATACTAACATACTTTTTTAAAACGATTCAAAGTTAAAATCTTATATTTACATTTCCGATGTGTAATATCTATGTAGTTTATACACCAGTAAACAGCAAAAGAAGAAAATCTATTTTTTAAAATACAAATGTCTGTTTTATACCATGCGCTAACCACCCCTAAAACACGTTTTACAGGTCAAAGGGAAAAAAGATGAGGAAGAGGGGAGGCTTGTAATGTTAACAAGGTACCTGTACTTTATATGTAAGGCGATGATGTAGAGAATATTTGCGGCAGGTAAAAATGGACCAGTATGAGGTTAAAAGGTAATAAGAGCCCGTAGAGTTGAGGTGTATGATGAAAAGAAGCTCCAGCTTATGTTCTGTATTTTTTTGTGTTATGGAATGGAACTTTTAACTTTTTTTCACCAAAATTATTATCATCACAATGAAAGAATGATGTAGAAATGTTATTTTCTGACAAAGATGTACTATTTAAAAGATTTATGATAAAGAGTTGAATTTCAACTTACCTGAACCATCCATTCTGGCTTTGAATCAGTTGTGTTCGATCTTGGGATGCGCGAAAAATCCCCCTTAGCTGTCCTAAGGTAAAATAAGGGAA